ACAGGCGTGTGCCACTGCTTTGCTAGCTTAATTCGTTCAACAGATTATATTCTGCTATTTGCAGTAGTCTTCCTTACGGTTAAATTTGCTCTCCTCCAAGTTTTATTCCCTTCTCTTCTCAGATCACCCCCAGCATCTTTCCCCTGGCCGGGGAGACAAGTTGCCCAGCCCTTTAAAAGCCCACACTCTCCCACCCTCCCCTCACCCACCACCAGTCCCACAGCTGGTTTATACCAGGAAGAAGCAAAACAAGTGTCAAGACGGGTCCTGGCAATCAAAAAGACAAGTACCTATGCTTTCTGGAGGTGAAACATTGATTATCTAATGTCTGCACAACATTTTGAATACTGTTAGTATTTAAAAGGAGAACAGTAACATCATTAATTTCACTACAGCTAGAAAAATCCTTAAAAACACACAAGGGAGGCAACTGCAACTGCATTAAAAAGTTCCAGACACATTATTTTTCCAGTTAGAGGCCATCCATATTTTATATTCCATTATGGTTTTGTATGTTTTAAGATGACTAGCAGATTTCACACTCCAGTCCAAAAAAAAAAAAAAAAAGAAACAGAAGATTGTACCAACTGCAGCATAAAAAAGCAGCCAAATGGACGAGGAACAATAAAAGAAACATCATAAATACTCTCAAAGCAGAGAAATAAATCATCAGTAGAAAGAGTGAAGAAATGGACCAAAGACCACCTACAATTCAACGGGGCACTGCTGAAGGAAAAAAGATTTAATACAAAATTCATGTCAACATAGCTGCCACCGCATTGTCTTTCCTTCCCCTTTTTCTTTGAGAAAAGTAAAAAATCATTACGCCATAGCCATTTCAGAGCACTTAGAAATTGCTATTATACAACAGAGGAGTGCAAGAAGCAGCGTTATGGTAAATATTTACCGTCAGCCGCACAGGTACAGCATCTTTCGGGCCAGCCATACCAGCTTGCTTGCTAGTGCAAGCAGCATTACTCTCTTCAAACTACCCTGGGCTGCATCTCAGATGCTTCATAGCTGATCCAAATTTTCCTTCTTCCCTCTGCTGTCCCCTCTTCTACCACTTGTGCCAACCCAGTGAGGAGGGAAGCGAAAACATTCTGGGACGGTTGTGCCTGAGGCAGAGCAGCGCCAGAGGCTGCACAACGCTGGGTAAAGGTGTGAAAAGAGGCGAAAGCATTTTGGCTGCAGCCAAAACTGAGGGTAAGGCTTTGACAAAGGTGGAGGAAGGGTCATGGGGCAGCAGATTTATTTATCCAACTGAGTAATTTCTCTCGGGGAGTGGTGTCAAAATCAGTCTTGAAGCTGAAAAAAGGTAAACACCATTGGAAAAAAACCCCAAGTTTGAAAAGTTTGCTTTCTTTCCCCTTTAATCTTCACCTAAAAAATAACTTTCAAGCTGGCCTCTATTACAAGCTGTTACTTTTTTAGGCTAGTGTTTTATATGTGCAGTTCAGAAATAAGCTGAAGGCACAATTCAAGGTGGCTTTCCACCCCAACAGATTCAGTGACCTACATAAAGTTGAGTAGCATACTCCTAACTTCGACAGCAGCGTGGCCCGGGTTTAACTTTGTAACTTTTGGAAGCATTTATATCTCCGGCTGATGTTTTCCAGGATTGACCTAAGCATGTTGCTTAAACTTTCCTTGAAAGGCTAAAGGGGAAAAAAAATAGAGAAGGGAAAAAAAAAAAAAAGTTTTAACTCCATTTATAAGCACCCGTAAAAAAATAATGGCTTCAATAGGAGAGCTGGCACACATTATGCAGAAATAGCATCTGAATTTTTTAAAAAATTGTCTTAATTTCACTAAGTTAGGAATATTTTTAAATTGCAAGCTCATTTGGAAAAAAAAAATTAAATCTTCAGGTACGCACTTAATACCAAATGCTGGCACTACACAAGTCATTAGCAAAACTCCTACTTGCTTCAATGGCAATGTGATGTGGCCTTGGAAGGAGTGATACGTACGTACATCCACTTAAATAAGTGTGCACTTATCACCGCAGATTATTTTATATCTTTCCTGCTGGAACCAACAGATTTCTCATTTTCGTAGACTGATGATCTCCAGCTTCTATTCTCCATTTTGTTTTCAATTTTAAACACAAGGTAGGTAGGAAATTAACTGCAGAAAGGATACATAGGATGCAAATTTTATAAGAGACCACTGTTTGCTCAGGTTACATGGCACCCAGGCAGAATAGACTCCTTGCCTATTAATTAGGCTCTTCGGTGCTTAAATAATACAAATAATTAACAGTAATGCCATCTTAATGCAGAGTTAAGGTATTACATTAAAAAGTTAACATTGTTCCAGGAGCGTTAATCGAGCTGTCTTGCACATTTTCTTCTCTCTCTCGACAATGTAAATTTAATTCATTATTCTTCTCTATTAGCATACAACCATTGCATACATTAGGCATACAAAATATTCACTTATTGCTGCTTGAGTGATTTTAATTTTCAGGTTTCCTCGAACGTTTTTGCATGGCTATTGCAACCGAGCGCTAACCCTCATTCTTTCTCCTTAAATTCTGTCATTTCTCTGTTGTGCCCTGCATGGGTTCACCATAAACTCTGCAAACTCCTTGTGTGCTTTGATGCATTTTCACTCACTTACCGTAAGTGATAAAACATGAAGTTTGAAAATAGGAGGAAAACAGAGTGTTCTGAACAGTTTAACCAGAAGTGTTCCCTTTAATCCAACTAGCATTGATAGCTGCCTCCGATCAGACAATGCCTCAAAGGCAAAGCTCTAGCCTTCAAATTGCAACACGCAGGTCCTGGGAACTCTGACTCAAAAGGCTTCAAAAACAAAGGGGAGGGCTAACAAAAATTAAAAACACCAGTTTGTGACTATGTCATGGCTGCAAAGGCAGTGGAGATGGAGGTGGCTCGCTCAATAGTTCATTTGTATGCTGCTGTTGTCATGTTTTTACAAACTATTGTCACATTTTTGTCACGTGTCATATTTGACAGCAGACCATAAAACAAGAATTCTGTTAAATAAGTGATTCTCACTCAGGCATTAGCCCTGGCAGACACCTGCTGGGAGAAATAATGAAACCTCCATTTTGCAATCAACCACACTTTACTGCCTATTCTTGACACTTAATGGTTGTTAAATGTCAGCAGGTCACTGCAAATTTGTGATTTTAAGTGTCTGAGTACCCAAACAGAAGTAGGTTCAGAGATATTTTCTTTCCGCCTTGGTTAAATGCTTTTAAAGGAAGGGGGGAAAAGTATTTGTATTCAAGCTTGGCAGCATTGCAACCTGTTTGGAAAACATCTTTGGAAAGGTCCAAAAAATATTCTGAGGAAGCATTTAAACCGAGGCTATCAATATCTGTAGTTGTACTACCTACAAAAATAAACAGCAGGGAAAGGAGAAGATCCTGAAATCTGGAGACCAAGACCCCACATAGCATTTTTTCCGCTCGGTGAAATAAAGAGGTGGCAGGAGGAAGGTGGCGAGATGAAGTCTCCCAGGAAAGCTCTTCGAGAACCTACCAGCGTCGTGCCTGACCCAGCGGCTAAAGAGAGAGATCCAGTGCTCTGTAGTGTTAACTGAACAGGGGTTTGGTTAAGCATAAAGGCAAACTAAGCATAAAGTTGCATATGGATGCTAACAAGCAGCGGCAAAAGGCCAATGAAACCACAGCCCTTACCTATGAGTGGGAGTTCATCCATGGTAATGCCCTGAGATTTGAGGTGCTTCTTGATACAGGCCAGCCGCTGCACGTTGGGTCCCCAGCGCCTGCCTAGCTTGTGTATGTGCTGAATCTGTGTCACAAACCGCATTTCATCATTTAGCTTGCACTCAGGTCTCCAGTCTGGAGGAGGAATCACCCTGCACATCCCATACTTCTCTACCTGAGCTCGGACTGACTCAATGTATATCAGTGGGTCATGAAATTCCTTGGTGGAGGGCCTAAGGATGGGAATCTCCCCCAGCATCCCCCACCCAGACTTACTACTGCCCTTTTCGTGCTTTCCCATTGAGTCTTGTGGCTTGTGCAAGGACTCCGCTTGAGAGGTAGAACGATTTTCACAGGAGGCATTTTCAGTTTTGCCATGTGCTTGTTTCCCTGGCGTACTCTTTCCAGCAGTGGCTCTTTTTGGCCTATTTCTTTCCAAACTCTTCTCTGGCACTTCCTTTTTAAGGTGTCCATTCAGCAAAGGCTTTTCTATGGCTGCCTTTTTGCTGGCAGCTTCTGCCAAGTTGACAGCCCCTTTCATTCTCTTGGTGGGCGACTGTATTTTGTCTATGTGATTCATCTCTTCCAGCCTCCTCTTCGAGTTGCGCAGCCCCTCCCTTAACTGTCTCCCCACCTCCTTAGTGCATGTCTTTTGGTTCAACTTGCCATTGACTTTTACACCATTAACAGCGGTATTGTTAGACTTGGATGCTCCAAGGGATAGCACCTGTTTGCGGGTTTTTGCATTGCTACTTTCTAGTTTCCCTGAGATTGTGTAGTTGACAGGTGAACTGGGTTTGTGGTGATTTAGTTTGGTTTCCTTGACCAGTTCTTTCTTGGCTTTGGTGTATGTGACAGTTCCCTTTGTCACTGTTGCAGTGTACTTCACAGTTTTGGACGGTGAAGGTCTGACTTCTCTCATCTTTTTGGCACTGGCTGCATTTGCACTCGGAGATGACATTCGAGTGATCCCGTTGACTTTAGAAACCTGCAATGCCAGGAGTGTTGCAGGGGGAGCAGAAGGAAGGAAACAGAAAACAGAAAAGTAAATTAGTAATGTTACCACTCAGCCACAGCATCCCAGCCGCTGGACAACCATATTCTGCAGTCCTGACTCCTGGCCCTTTCGTACAACCTTCATACAATGGTTTTTGCCCAGGCAAGAGGGGAGACTGGGCATTTATAATAAACAAATAAAACAATTATTTTTTTTCAAATGAACCAAAAAGTCCCCAGAAAGCCCATCTTGATTTCTGAAGCTATGAAGACTCTGGCATTAAGAAGGGTGAGGTTTCTTGCTTGCACTGCCTCTGTCTTCATCTACCAGAAAGCTGGTTTTGGTATCACAAAACACAGGTAGTCTGATTTACAAATTAATACTTTCATTATCTTATTTTCTGGCCCTCAGACACTATCTCTCTCCCACCCAGCTTCCCTTAAGTGCACACACAGTTTACTGCTGCTTTGCAGACAAACTAGCCAGCACACACTATCTACTCTAACTGGAATGGGCACATTTTGCAAAAAAACATACACTGAGATGCAAACCAACCTCGTGTCTATACGTACATACATATAAAAAAGAGTTATTGAACACATTATGCACCCAACAGATCAGGACAGCCATGAAGGATACAGCCTGTCATACATATTAAACCTTGGGAGGCATCTCGTTGCTGAAGTCATTAATTTGAAATAAACATGTATACGGTAGTTCAATGAATTTTTTTTAAGTTTGATATCTGGGCAGTTTTGCTGACACACATTTTATTACATCATATTCATAACTAATGTGTGATGCAACTTAGAATTGCTAGACTCCACTGCTTTCTGTTAGATAACTTAAACCCAGCCATGAAACTAAAACTTTTATTTTAACTATAAGACAGGTGAAGCACCAAAAGCAACCTTCAGCTTTGAAGGGAACTGCAACATTCCAGCACTGCCAAAGCTAAGTTCTGCTACCATGAAAATGAAATTCAATTTTAAACCTCAAACAAACTTCAGCATGTAAACAAGTTTAAACACTGTTTTCTCACCTCCTTAAACTACTGTGAGTGCAGAAAAACACATCCAAAAATCAGGAACATCAATAAAAGTGCTCAAAGTGAAAGCATACAGTACAACCAGCGCTCAGCTGAGTAACACTATTCCTGCAAAGTTATAATACTTCCCTGGGGGATTTCAAAACACTTGCCAAATTAGTAAGCATGGCAGCTTCTCTCAAATAAATGCAAGAACTGTAGTCACTTATGAAGCAGTGATAAAATGTTATAAAATAGGGATCAAATAGAAACGTAAAAGATCATGCTATGGTCTTGCATTAAGTGACCTACAGAAGAGGAACTGGAACCTGGGATTCTGCACACGCACACACACGTATGTATATACACGCATTTACTGTGTGCGTTTTCTCCTCTGTGCTCCAGAAGCTGGAGCAGGAGTAACAACTCTTTTAAAACCCATCCGTTTTCTTGTCCTTCCTGTACTTCCAAGGCAGAAACACTTATGGAAAATCCAGTTAACTGATGACAGGAGTTTTTACCTTGAGCCTTCGTATGAGAATATCATCTAAAAAGCAAACAATTGCTAACAGAAATGCATTTACCCATTTCCCTTGAAATGCAGGCAGTACTCTGCATTTGAAATGGTGGCCTGGGTTTGACTTTTACAGAGCTTTTTCATGCCCCAGAGCAGGCAGGAGCAGAGAGCTGCTGAGACACTGCCTCCTGCCTCCAGCAGTCCGAAAAAGCGTTGAACATCTCTGGCTTTATAAACAGCCAGAAACATCGATTACAGATTTCATCTAGACTAATAGAGAAGAACTGACTGAGAACTGTGAGGGGAAGGTAATCTGGGTGACAGTGATCATAAAATGAGTTTTCAATTCCAAGATGTGACAACAGCAGAGAAAAGGACAACAGACTTAAAAAAACCCACCACCACCAACAAAACCAAACAAAAATAACCCCACCTGCAAAAAAACCCAAACCAAAGCAATTCCCACTCAGAGGAGGGGCAGGAAACACAGGCCATTATGCCTGTTCACCTAGTTCTCTAATGACTGGAAAATCAGAAAAGAATCACAGGAAAAAGTCAAAACGCTATTATGTAACTATGGGGAATGATATAGGAACAGCAAAAGCATGCATGGGTAAAATCAGAAACGCCAAGGAGCGAAAGAAACTTCAGTTAGCAAGGGACCTAAAATGAAACACAAAAAATTTCATAAACAAAAGACAACAAAGAACAGAGATCAACCACCGCACAAGGAAAGAAAACAAATGCAACAGTGTGGCTAAAGTGTTCGTGCTTCTTTTGCATCAGCCTTCACCAAAAGTACCACTGACTGAATACTTACCAGATATATAACATAACCAAGCTCAGCAAAAGAGCTAGGAAGGCAACCCCAGCAAGCTAAAGTGTACCTAGATGACCTAGGGCATGGCTCTTGGAGAGAAGTGGAGGGCAGGCAGAGTCTACCTAGCTTCCAACCCTAAAATCATTCTGCAACAAATGATCAAACAGTTAATTTATAAACACACAAATTATACATAAGATAATGTTAAAAACTAAAAAAAAAAATTTAAAACCCTAAAAACCCCCACCCATTGTTTTGCCAAAATAGCACATCAAGCAAAGTTATTCATCTCCTGACAGGCACCTGGCTGAGCAGGCAAAGGAAGCACCTCTGCTTCAACTGTCCCACACGATGTTCCACCAAACAAGCTCCTGAGACAGGGCCCAGACACTAAAGTGGCTTCACAAGGGATTAAAGAAAGTCATCCTCAAGAGAAGTTATCGTTGCCACAGTTCACTACCATCCTGGGAGGGCATATCAGGTGACTCTCTGCAAGGACTTGTCTTGGCCTTGGTTCTACCAAGTATTTCCATGAGTAACTTGGATTACTGTAAAATTTGCAAGTGACATATACCTGGAAGGGGCTCTGGAGAGAAGGTCAAAACCAAAGGCAATCTTCAAGAACCTATTTCAGAATATTTCTACAATGAAAAGAAGTGCTACTTTTAGGAAGGACAAATCAAATACACGTCAGGGAGGAAGAACATTTGGGGACCACAGTGAGCTGTGGAATGTGATGGTACGAAGCAGGCTGATCTCCTTCTGAGACCTATTACCAAGAGCGCCGAAAGCAAGGGATGGGAGCACAGGCTTTCCTATGCAGGGCTGGACCCAGCACAGGGCCCCGTGACAAAAGTTTAGACAGGTGAGCAAGTCTAAAAGAACACAAAGTCCTCAGGTATTTGGAAAATATGATCTTTACTGAAAAGCCAAGAGAGCTGGGCTTATTGAGTTGGAAAGAGATGACTATGGGATGACTCTGTAAAGGTCTTCCGATGCCTAAGGAGCTCGTCTGAAAAGACACGGTAAATGCTCTTTCCATGTTCACCAGAAAAAGCTGGGCTGAAAAAATACCTTAAATTGTCTACAAAGACGATCTGAGGCATGACTAGGAAAACTTTCTACTTAGCAGAAAAGGAAAAAGCTGAAAGAAGCTACCAATGGATGTTAAGGAGTCTCCTCTAGAGGAGGTTTTCCAGGAGGCCATAGCTATGTACTGCGCTGTCAGGTACAGTCAAGACAACACCTCAGAGTGAGCAGTCAGGCTGTATGGAGGTATCTTGTCACTCTAGCTTTCCTATGATTTTTATTTTTTTTTTAAAGAAGTTGTGACCAGAAGTCTGAAGGACCATCCGGAGCACTCCTTCAGCAAGGGGTGGAGGCACAGGGCCTGAGAGCAAAACGCAGTCATGGAGAAAGTGCTCATGGAGAAAGGCAGGATCCTCACAGCTCCTCCTCTTCAAAGGAAAACACACCATCGGCACCATCATCAGCTTCAGGCCAGTATTAAAACTGCCAAGATATAAACTTCTGAAAAATTGAATTAATTAAGAAAACAGCAACTTATCACAACTGTTTAGAGTTGTTAGAATACCTCCACACAACGAAAGCTGAAATCTCTCAAGGCCAAATCTTGAACTGAACAGGTACATAAGCTTCAGCTATCTAACCTCCAATCCTAGATTATAAGCACACTATTTTGAATTTTTATTCACACTTAGGGACATTACTCCAATGACTAACATGTCCTGAAGTAGAGAACACTTGGGTGTGAGAATACCAAAAGGAATTCACTTATTTCTTTCTGGTTGCTAACTAAAGAGACCCCCCCAAAAAAAAGAAACACTGCTGAAAACTTCCTCAGGACCATCATCTTTTCTAGAGCAGACACAACACGATGGTTTTCAAATCCTTCTCCCTCTTCCCTCCCCAGATGCCCACAGGTATCTTGAGTGTTTTCAGAGAGGACAGCATAACGTTTAAGATACAGCAGTACTGTATAGACCAGAACAGACCACGCTTCAAACAGGAATAGGCTGCAACAAATCTCTTCCAGCTGGAAACAAGTGGAACAAACAACGTGGTCATAGCCCACCATCAAAGCAACAGGTGGATTCAGGATTTCACATTGACAAATGTGAAATTCTGGCTGGTCAGTCATCACCTACACGTTCCTGGTCTGTACTTGTCTCTGAGGACCCATCAGACGATTGGAACGAAAAGAAACAAGAAATTGTGGTAGGCATTTTCTTACCTTTCTACTGTTGATATGTCTCCCCCCAAACCAAACATACACACACAGAGTCAGCCTAAAAAATTGGCCACACTGCCAGGTGCGCAGGTTCACCAAATGGGGGTCTATGCCACAGCTCCATCCCGAGGCAGTGCTTACACTGAGCACATAAGAAAGAAGTCAATTTAATTCAAATAGTAACAAAGTGATTAACATTAGCCTTACATGACCCAAAGTCTTGAGCTAAAGGTGAAACTAGGGATACAAATAACTTTATCTTTGCTTTGCAGCTATCTTCTCAGTTTTGCTGGCATACAGTTGTCTTCAGACCACTCTTTTCTCCACTTTACTGAACACTTGCCTTGCAGTAAAAGATGGTATGACAGATTTTAAATTTTGTTGTCTTTTAAAAAGCAAACGGGACCAGCACATAGCCTTGCAGCAATTTGTTTGTTGGATTTGAGCTGGTCTACATACACACCTCTGCACAGCACCTAGGATCCATCCTCCACATACACACACACACAAAATAAAGCCAACAAACAACTTGTTAGATAACAACCACAGAAATAACAGCAATATTAGCAACAGTTTTGGTCCCAAACAAATTCAAGTTATGCAACTGATCTCAAATTCATTCATAAAAATACTTGTGTGTTGATGTGAGGTTTGCAGAGCTAAATTACCATATTAGACCAAGAGAGGGCTCCATTGAACTACATTTCCGCTGCCCACCACCCCTTTGAAGTAGGGGATTTGGGAAGATAGCAAGTGAGGAAGAAAGAGAGAGAGGGAACACGTGATAAGTGCAAGTGCACACCAAAAAAGGAAAGAAAGAACAAGAGGAAAAAAGAAAATCTCGGGTAATTTCTAGTGTTGTGCCTTTATTTGCTGTAAGACTGAACAAAACTAAAAACACACACACACGTAAACAAACCATGTGAATGCACGTGAACAAGGAGCAAAAACATACTGAAAGGAGGAAGAACATGTGGCTGGCACCCTGGGAAAACAACTCTCCTTTTGGAAAATACTGAAAATGTCAACAAAGACTCAAGACAAGGGCAGGAACTTTAGCAATGTCACTAACTGGTAAGTCTAACGTTTTGCACAAAGCTAAGTCTTTCTGTCAGGCAAAATGCATAATCCACTTTTAATTAGTTACAGCCACACTTTCATTAAAATCAGTAAGAAAGTACTTATATTACTGTGGGTTGCAGAACAAAATTCAAATGCCTAACTTTTTTTTTTTTTTTTTAGAAAAAAAAAAATCAAAATCACCATCTTAACTTAGAGCCGCCTTATTTTCTGAAGCTTGAGGACCGCGCTGTGAGGTGTCTGCGTGGCGTGACTGTTGGTTGTACTGTATTGCTTTAGAATTTCTCTCCCTTTTGCACAGCACGACTGAAAACATCTAATACTCCACTAAGCAAAACCCACTTGGGTCGTGGACAAAATTCTTCTACACCTGCCTCTTCCCTTCTCAGAACTACCTGCACAAGTGATGGCAGTTGACTTTCAGGAGAATTTTAACCGTTCATACTTTGATGATACAGCTTTGAAGCATTTCACGTAAGTGTCCCAATGAGTTACAATAATTAAGCATGAAGAGCATCCTTACGCTTTGGAAAACTTGTTCAACATAAAGAGCTCATGGCAGAGCTTGTCACAGCAAGGACCATAGGATGCTGGTAGTGTCAAAAAAGAAAGCCAAAAGGATGCAAAAGAAGGCAGGTATTCAAGCTGATGACTAGATAAGCAAAAATTGCCAAGGACGAATAAAGAATGGAAGTCCTACAGAAGTACAGAGAAATATACTGTAGATAGCCTTCAGGATCTCAAATTTAATTTAGAAGGTAATACAAATCAAGTGGAGGTATTCCAGGAGAAGCTAAACAGCACTGAAGCACAGGGCATGGATGACTTCCTCGGCAACAGCACCACTGTTTTTCTTTTTGCCGTTTTGCATTTCCAAACCTAAGACTGAAAGGTGCCATTTAAGGCTTTGACAGCCCTACAGGATAGCAATTCCAGCTACACCGAAGTCCAGGCCAGCCTACTTAGAAGAAAAAATTTAGATGCCAGCAAATAAAGACTGTCTCTAATTGGCCTGTTGAGAATTAATCACTGGAAAAAAAGAAAAAGGGAAAAAAAAAAAAAAAAGAGAGAAAGGTGTAAGTGCAGCAAGCTTTCTGCACTGCAGCGCCCTAGCACAGGGAGCCTGCCAACTCAGCCACAGACTGGATAAGGACACTGACCGGGCATTCTGAAAGTCTTTTGTAAAAAAAACTTATTTTACAGTTGCTATTTTAGAAGCCCTTTGATCCAATCATCAAAAATAGCCAGAGATGCATCCTGCCCAAACGCCAGTCACAAGCACCAAAAGATTGGTCTGCTGAACTTTCACACCCAAATACAAGTCAGGCTGAGACAAACCTCTACATGAATTTTTTTGCTAGTTTTCATCCAGGTAACCTGAAAGTCTGAATTTCTCCTCACCTGGTATGTCCACTGTGAAGGAGGCACTTTCTTTATGCATCAGGCAAAACATTTTTCCCGGACTCTGAGGTTTGTGTTGCCCCCATGCAATACAAGACACCTGAGCGTAACGTCAGCTTCTCTACAACGCCAGTGAGCCTCTAAGATAACCCGAGCAGACCAGCCGTACACAAAAGGAGTTCATTTTCCCACGTGCTGCCAGCCTTGGCACTGTCAGCAGAGAGGCCAACAGTCAGAAAGGTTTAATAAATAGTGATGTGAACTTTACTCGTCCCTGTGTATACACTGGATAATATAAAGATAGGGTTGTAAAGCATGCTTTATTATACTGACTTCCCACGTATGTATCAACTTTTCTTTTTTCCTTCTTTCTCTCTTTCTCTCTCTTTCACTGAAAATTAACTCCCTGCTGTCTCCAGAGCATGCTTTTAAGGATTTCCATGTTCGCTCTTTGCCAGGCAGTGGAAAATGGAGCTAGCACCTTAAAAGTCTGCGTTTCCCATGTGTCCACAGTAGAGTACAATTCATTACCTGTTTCCTTAAGTCCTGAGCCGATCTATGAAGAGTGTGGTGGTTGTTAGCGGTGAGCCCTTTTGTAGAGGAGCCAGTGTTTGTAGTAGGATGGTGATTAGCAGCCACCTGGTCTTTTCGGCTCTCAGCCTTCTGTTCGCTGTTCCTCTCCTTCCCTGGTGTGGCCTCTTTGCTTTTGTGTTTCTGAGCAGGTTCTTTCTCCTTCAATGATTTGCTGGACCCATTGAAAACTGAGAAAAGAGAAAATCAGACTGTTAAGGAAAAAAAAAAAAAACAAACCCCATACAAGATCAAATTCTTCATTCAAAACAACCCAAATTTCTCTGCTGTCAGTGTTTCATATTTAGTGAGTGTCTTCTTATATCTAAAGTAAAATCAATACAGAAATAGAAGCGCTATTTTGCATATTTCTTTATATGAACAGATTTACTGAATTATTTCCTTTGCTTGTTAACACACATTATCTTCACTATCCAAATTAAAACAGACAAGGAACGTTACTGTTTTGATTGACCTAAATTTAGACTTATCAGTTTGATTTTTGACAGTTTTAATTAACTTTTTGCTTTTGCAGTGAGGGAATTCTAAATATAACTTAAACAGAAAAATTACTTATTTTTACATTAATGTAAAAGAAAGGAAATATTCCAGGAAAAAGCACGTTTTGTTTTCATCAATATCCAAACTGCTGAATCAAACTGACAGCAGTTTTCCTATAGCAGAAAAGCTACAAATAGAAAAACGTAAAGGAAAATACTAAAACCATTTTGGAACATGTCATACAATGTAATGCTGGGACCTATGCTGAACACCCTAGCCTTCTGCTGAAGTGAAGGGATAAGAAAGCACAGAACAGAAACCATATTTTTTGTACAATAAATACTACGCAAACATACACAAGTATATCTCAGCAAGTTTTGTTCCTGTCCCTCTGCTCAATTTATTTAAGTACAGTCACTGCTCTTTTATTGTCAGGCCACATGAAAAGCCAAGGTTATTAAAAAAAAAAAAGTCACATTTCTCTGTTTGTCTGTTAATCAAAAATGTGGTGAATTTCTGTCACTGCTGCCCCCTCTTCAGTGAAGCCCTTGACAGAGGTCCATGAGGCTTGTGATCCAGCACCCACAATGGCAAGCGCCCTCCTGCCTTCTCTGCTCATCTGCTCCTGGTTTTCACCCCTGCCTTTTTTGTCATGTTTTAGGGAAAGGACAAAAATAAGAAAGTTCATATATATGTAAGAGCACAAGTATCTAAAAATTGTATTTATTAAAAACAACAAACACCAACTGCTTGGGAATATTAACTAAATTAAGGAAGTTATTGTTTTCTTGTGAAATGAAAGCCTTCTTTTGTCACAAAGCATGCTATACCCACAGTACATACCTTTTTATCTAAATCGTGAAGCTTAGCTGTCTCTGCAGCTGTCCTGTTGTACTACAGTAGTAGCAGCAGTAATAGGAGTAATAATATACAACCAGCAATCCTGCTGGACAGAGGAGGGGCATCTGTGCTGCTTTTGAGTAGACACCTACCTCCAAACTCAGCTATCTGCCTTCCCACCGCGCCTCCAAAAACCCAAACTCCAGCAAGCTATTGACAAATTTGTTATTCAGGTCACTTATCATATTCAGTTGGCCATAAGTGTTGAAGCAGATTATGTAAAAAATAAAAAATTGTAATTGTTCTTCTTCCTCTCTGCTTTCCCTCTTGCATAAATTGAGTGAGAACAAGAGAAAAGCCGTCAGCAGGGAAGTCACCATGAATTCCCCCATGGCTCCATCATTCCTCAGCTCAGGAGCAACTGGAACTGCCCCAGCCAGCCGAGGATTTCTCAGCGATTTCAGTGAAAGTCGTGTAACCTCCGTGTCTCATTTCCAGTGATGGAACTGATAATAATTGCCAACCCCTCTCGCGGAGTTCATGACAATACATTTATCCTCCTTCGTAAGGAGTTCTCGCATCAGACGGAAGGCGCTACAGATGCACGAAGCATGACTATTTATTTTTAATAGGACATAGCACAAACATCCGATGGCAGCTTCGTTAATATGTATTTCATCACTACGAGCAATATTTTCCTTCGGAGGGAACAAATTGTATACACTGATCTGCTCATATGGAAACGTTAGGTCAGAGAGATTAGTTTTCTGTATTCAGTTGCCACTTTATAAACTGAAAATTACTAAAACAGAAAACACAGCCAAAAAGCCAAACTGCGCATTTTTATGGTTCACTAAAAAAAACCCCAGCAAACAGGAGACAAGGTATATTTTATATGCAACAGCTCATTAATTTTAAGTGTCGTGGGAACCTTGCCAGTTTTACCCTCTGAGTAATTATCTTTTGTCTTAATTTGTAAGATTCTTGAAAAGGGGAAGAGAGAAATGGGAGAGAAAAAAAATGTTCAGTCTCACAGGGAAAGCTTAAAAAGCTTAAAGCCTGAAAACACAATAAAAAGGGAGAGACGTAGATGGAAAACAGTCCCAGTCAAGCCGTCTCTAGTTAAACAGTAGATGGTATCAGTTTCTATAAAAAACGGTATTTGTTTCTTCCAACACCTAGAGTGTTATATCCAGCTAGATAGGTATAGAAGCCTTGCTGCAATAATAAATTCTGCAAAATTCACAAACATATTATGTGAAGTAGGAAAACATTCACTTGACTGATTACAAAACACTACCACAAGCCAAGCATTTGGGGGGCTGGGGAATGGGAAGTCCCCTGGACTACGATTTTGCTCCCATCTGAGTAAAAATGTCAAAGATATTTAGACTTAGAGAGTACAATACAGGATTACACTCTGGCCTGAATAGCTAGTAAGACAGTTCAGTGAAAAGATGAATTCACCAGGAAAGACCAAAAAGCCCCCCAAGACATCTCATTGTTGAAGAAAAATTGATAATAAGGCAGAAGCACCCACTTTTCAAAGGGAAGAAAACATCAACCCCCAGCCCCCTCCCCAAGTCCAAACCTCTGCATTAAATATTACTGAGACCACATCTGATCTAACAATAAAATGATTGGTAATTCTTTTGTGTCTTCCTATGCAGTAAATTGCATTTTCCTTCACGTCTGCCAGCTCTTTAATATTTCTGAGGCATTCAGAAAAGCCGAAAAGGTGTACCTTCTGCTTTACTAAGCCCAGATGTAGACATGTCCCACTTACAATCTCCCATCCTAGCTATAACTCCGACATGCACAATATCCAATGTTCTGCTCCTTGTTATTTTATTCCTTGTGAAAGAGTAGTCAATAATGGTTTCATCCTTGAAGCAGTAATTTCATTAAAAACCAGAAAGACGGAAAAAAGCCCAACCTATATGAGTAGTGAAACTCACATTATTAAAACAGAAAGCTTTTGTAATCTTGAATTATGATTATTTTATGCTACCTTAAATCAACTCTATATTTCCAGAAGAGCTTTTAGCTAAAAGAGCACTACCAACAAATAATTAAAAAGTAGATTATTAGTGTTCAAGACACTTCTTCAAATAGAATAAAAGGATATCCTTTTATCCATATCTATCCGAATGCTCATTCTCAAACTGCTGCATCCTCCAAAGCAATTATTATTATTATTATTATTATTATTATTATTAAGCTGAAACCATAAGAGTCCCAGAGTGAAATACTTGTGGGTCTTTTGGTTAGCAGTGATGATCAAACACAAAGAAACTGAACCACTACATTCAAAACTCACAAGCACTGAGTGTTTTTAAACCACTGATGTAATTTATGGCAGGAGAGCAAAACCTTATGGCAGG